AGGGATGATTTTCAGCGAGTCATTCCAAGTAGCAACTGTGATCGGAAAGCTGCCGCCAGGATGGAAGGACTTCAAGAACTATCTCAAACACAAGAGAAATGAGATGAGTCTAGAAGATCTGGTTGTTCGTCTTCGTATTGAGGAAGACAATCGTAATTCATCAGGGAAAGTCCCGATAATATAGGCTCGTGCGAACTTGCTGGAGCAAGAAAACTCGAGCAAGAGGAAGTCCTTTAACAAAGGGAATCAGCCTGCAGTTTGGAAGTTTACCGGAACCTGTTATAACTGTGGAAAGCCAAACCATATGGCGAAAGACTGCAAGAGGCCAAAGAAGGTTGGGCCAATGAAATGGCAACCTAGTGCCCTTGTTGCTGAACACGGCCATGTGCCGGGTGAATTGACCGACTTTGATATGTCGGTTGTGGTGTTTGAAGCCAATTTGGTGGATAACCCAAGGGAGTGATACATCGATACTGGTACCACTCGTCATGTGTGTTCCGATAAGGAGGTGTTTGTTGAATACACTCCTGCTAAGGGTCGAAAACTTCACATGGGAAACTCATCCACATCTGATGTGGCTGGAGTTGGCACTGTCGTGCTGAAGATAACTTTTGGAAATGAGTTGAAGCTTAAGGATGTTCTGCATGTCCCAGACATCTGCAAGAATTTGGTCTCAAGATCTCTTCTTGTTGAGCATGGATTTAGGCTAGTATTTGATGCTAAGAAGTTTGTTCTTAGTCAGTTTGGAACATTCCTTGGTCGTGGTTATCTCGACAAGGGTCTGTTCAAAATGAATGTAATAGCCTTGAGCCGTGTAACTGTTTCCAATGAAAAGTCTATTTTTGTTCATACCGTCAAGTACTCTGACTTATGGCATATTAGATTGCGACATGTAAATCTAAATACAATTAAACGGTTGATCGGAATGAAACATGAACATATATGTTTGCTTGTTGTGAATAAACTTTAAATAGATGTTTACTTGTTGTGAATTCTACCTCTGAATGCATTTGGATAGGATATATAATCATCTCACGAAGACTCAAAAAACATTTAACTTTTTTAGGTTAAACTCTATTTGCCTTTTTTAAAAATGAAAAACTTGTATATCAAAATGTTAATCATTTTCAGGTTGGTGCAAGCGTTTTAATTGAATCGCGAGACATGAAACAACTATTAGAGTGGAATGAACTTTATGGCGAAGGTGGATCAAGAAATAGTAATCACTTAGCTATTTCCTGTAGATGATAGCTAATATTTGTTTTTCTTTATTTTTTATTCTTTTATTTGTTTTTCTTTTTTAGATGGAGCAGAGACATGAACATCCAGCTAAAACTATACATCTTCCCAGAAAAAAGAATTAAAAATAAAGGAAAAATAAATTAAAATCAGCTATCATCTATACGAAATAGCTAAGTGATTTACTCTTTCTTGATCCACCTTCGCATAGAGTTCATTCCACTCTAAAAGTTGCTTCATGTCTCACGATTCAATTGAAACACTTGCACCAACTTGAAAATTATTAGCATTTTGATATACAAGTTTTTCATTTTTAAAAAAGACAAATAGAGTTTAACCTAAAAAAAGTTAAATGTTTTTCGAGTCTTCGTGAGACGACTATATATCATATCCAAATGCATTCAGAAGTAGAATTCACGGCAAGCAAACATCTATTTAAAGTCTATTCACAACAAGCAAACATATATACTCATGTTTCATTCCATTACTTGTCCCAATCTTTCGACCTCAACTTCCAACCAGTGATCGGAATACTTAGCCATCCGGGAGATGGGGCCTCCGGCCGGCTCGGTAAATCTCCAAAATGCCTCTTACATCGCAGCATCTTATATGAAGTTTCTGGAGTCCGCTGGCGCGAGGGTTGTCCCTCTTATCTACTACGAGCCTAAGAAGACTCTTGACCGAGTAATTCACCACTTTATGGATTTGTATTTGGTCTTTGTATTTTCATTATAGTAACTTACAATTTTTGTTGCATTGGTTAATGGAGTAATCTTCACTGGAGGGACCAAAAACAATGCTCTCCACGACAAGGTTGTCGAGTCCATATTTCAGATGAACCACCCGACATCTTTCTCTTACTTCTTGTTGAGGCTGTATTTTTTTACTTCTCTTGATCTATGATTATTATTCTTCTTTCTAGTTTCCTGTCCAGCCTTCATTTTATTATACAATGTAATAAGATATCAGTTCTTTACGACTTCATAATGAGTACAAAATTTGAGATTTTTTATCTTCCTTCTTGTCGGGGTCATTTGTCACGTAAAGTTAACATTGCATGTAATGACTAGCCTTGCATCTCTTCTATGCAGAGGGTTAAGGAAAGGAATGATCAAAAACATTATTTACCTTTGCTTGCGATAAGCGTAGGTTTTGAACTGTTAACGATGATTCTAAGCAAGGTAAGCTTTTTAGAACCATGCACCTATTGTGTCCTATAAACATTGATTTTTACGGTATATATAATAAAAATCTTGGATTAGAGGGAAAGACGTGTGGTTTTCACTTATATGCTCTAGTTGTCACCGTGGTTTAAAATTCTTCATTCTTATAATGTCACATGGCCATTTGGGTTATAGTTGCTCCTGTGTTAGATGTCGTTTCTTATATATATTTCTGAGCATCTCTTACACTACGATAGGATTTATAGTTCACATTCCATTAAAATCAACCACAGATTGATTCACTAGCTTCAACTTGTTGATCTATTTGAGTTTGCTCTTTCTATTTTTGGTTTACAGGAACATCATGGAGAAATTTGATGCAACAAATCATGCTTCATCATTGCGCTTCATGGATAGCATAAATCTAAATAGAACTGTGTTTCAATGGTAATAGCTGCAGCAAATTCAACAAGTTTTGGGTTTCATGTGATTCCCCCAACACTCCTTCAAATGTGAATATTTTTCTACCCAGATGTGCACATCATCTCTTAAACAGATATGTAGATTGTTTCGTCATTTTCTCTTTCACTAATTGGATGCAATGACAATGTTAATTCCCGTTACAGGTTTCCTCCGGCTTTGCTAAAGAAGATGAAGACTGAATTCCTCGTGATGCATAATCATCGTGTAAGAGTAGTTTCATGTTTTTTACCCTGTGATAATGTGTAGTAGAAATTTTTAATTGTACATGAAAATATATTAGGCATATTCTCAATTTCCAAGTTTCTTTGTGGTCTTTTTTTTTTGTTTTTGTCCCTTCGTCTTGGCTGCATTCTTGGAAAATATTAAACTAAATGTCTTTCATGATATAAAAAATACAACTTCGATCCAACATAGTTGTTAGTTTAAGAAGTTAATAATTGTGTAGCTTATATATTCCATATATAACCATCATATTCTCTAACCGACAGTTGGGTATTTCAACGAGTAAGTTCCGAAGGAGCAAAAAACTTTGTGATTTCTTTAAGATCATAACCACTAGTGCCGATCGAGATGACAAGGTATTGAAGGAACCACAACTGTTGTGCATTCATCTTAATTTTAGTTTTTCTTCGATTTGTTTCCACTAAATTTGTTAATATTTGATCTATGTTATAATCACAATTGCATTAGGAAATATGTTTCGACATTTCAAGCACGCAGATATCCTGTGACTGCTGTCCAGTGGCACCCAGAGGCCAGAGGTATTACCTTTCTTTGAGTTATTAAAATTTATTTTGTGATCTAGATTACAAATCCTGTGGTTCTGTCTATTATTACAAATCTTGTGGTTTTGTCTGTTTTTTTTTTTTTCGAAACAATAGATATGAATTAGACTAAAACAAATGTACAAAGTTTGAGGGGTCCACCGACCCTAACAAACAGGAGCTCCAACGCAAGGGAACTAAATTGATAAGAACCAAGATAAGTTTACTAAAAGGCAGTAAACACACTGAAACCTTTAGCTAACCTACCTAGGCATAATCAAAAAGAATAACTAGCCACTGCTCCAAGGAACCTAGCTAGGGAGACCAAACCGGGGGGAAAGCATGCAGACAGAAAACAGGAGGACAAATAGAACAAAGAAAAGCAGCCAAACAAGCAATGAACTTAAGCAGAGGAGCAGACAGCAGAGAATTCATGTCATTCCAAGAGGGCGGATTTAGGGTATGTTTGGTAGGCCAAATAAGCTAGCTTATAGCTTATTTGGTTAACTTATAAGCTCTATATTAAAATAAGTCTCGTTTGGTAGGACGAGCTTTTTCAAAAAGCTCGAGCTTATCTCATAACTACTTTAGGTAGCTTGTCAAATAAGCTAGATGAATTTTTATATTTCAGCTAGCTTATCAGCTAATTTACCAAACACTTTTATCATATAAGCTAGCTTTTCAGCTATAAGTCATAAGTTATAAGTTATAAGCTCAAAAATTACATATAAGCTATAAGCTAGCTTACCAGCTATCAGCTAACTTATCAGCTAGTTTTCCCAAACATAGACTTAATGGTCTCCTTCTCAGGCAGCCAGGACTTTTTGAAGATCCACAAGTTCCTGGATTTCCAGAGTCACCACAAGATATATGTGGTGAGCTCTATTCTATCCACAGCTTCATACCCTTTAGATAAGCAAATGTCTCTCCACCAAAATTTAAAACAAGGGGTTTGAGAATGAGTGTTGTTCCAGCTGAAAGGGGCCATCTTCCAAGTTGTTTGAGCTCTGTGACAGTGAAAAAACAAATGTTCAACTTATTCCTCAGCCTCCCCACAGCAAGGGCAAGTTGTGTCAATTTTCAGACCTCTTTTGGCTAGATTGAGGCAGACAAGGAGTGTGTTATTGAAGCACTTCCAACAGGAAGTGCTTAAGCTTCCTCTTCACTTTCAGCTTCCAGCTTTTGGCTGACTTTGGTAATCCAAGAGCTCTGAGAGCTGGTTTCTGGAATATCCAGCTTGCTAATCTTGTTGTTGATGAGTTGAGCATAAGCAGAAGAAACAGTGAAGAGGCCCTTGCTGTGTAAAGCCCATGAGAACTTGTCCCTCTTATCAAAACTCTGACCTGTGACGTTAAGAATAGCGTCAATTTCCAGTACAGAACACTTCTCTGATAAGCTCAATGTTCAAGCTGCAGTCCCCGAGATTCATGAGTTGATTAACAGTGGTAAGGATGAGTGGGCTGTGAGGATGTCTCTTGGGCTTTAAGTCAGGGAGAGTGGGAAGCCATGGGTGTTCCCAAATGTAGGTTGCCTTGCCATCCCCTATAATCATTCTGAGGTTTTTGATGAAGGAAGGGCAGACTCTCATCCAGCTCCTCCAAAGCCAAGAGCTGCTTTGAGGGGTGTTTGCAGCAAAGAGGTTCGAAGGAACCTCTGGGAAAGTATTTATTTTTCAGGATTTTGCTCATGAGGAGGTTGGGCTTGGTGATAATTTTCCATAGCTGTTTAAAGATCATGGCTTCATTGAAAGTTTTGAGATCAGAGAATCCCAACCCTCCTTTTTCCAGAGGCAGAGATAAGAGTTTTTAGCTTTTCCAGTGCATCCATCCCCTTACTACAGTTGCCACCTTTACTCCACCAGAACTCACCCTGTTAATCTCATCACAAACTGAAACAGGCAATATAAAGCATGACATAACAAAAACAGGCAGTGCACTGAGAACTGATTTAATGAGAATCTCTTTCCCAGCAGGGGAGAGAATTTTGTTCTTCCAGCCTAAAATTCTGAATTTAACCACATCAGTGACATAATTGAAAGTCTGCCTTTTAGAATGCCCAATTTGCAGAGGTAATCCCAAGTATTTGCAGGAGTGCTGAATTTGGATGCCATTAAGAATGGTGCAAATGGAGTGCGGGACATGAGATGGGGTGTTTCTACTGAAAAATAGAGGATTTATGGAGGTTAACCTTCTGGCCAGTAAAGAGCTGGTATGTTTGGAGGATTTGAAGTATGGAGTTGGCATTAGAGTTATTAGCTAGACAAAACATGATTGTATCATCTGCAAAGAAAAAGTGGCTGAGTGTGGGGCCATTTCTGGAAAGTTTAATGCCTTGAAGATCACCATTGTCAACAGCTTGCTTGATGAGACAAGAGAGCAATTCAGCCACAATAATGAAAATATATGGAGATATGGGGTCACCTTGCCTAATTCCCCTAGAAGGGGAGACAAACCCACTAACAGAGCCATTGATATTTGAAAGAGTAATTAAAGGAAGTGACACAGGCCATAATCCAATTTACAAATTTAGCATGGAAATCCATTTTTAACATGATTTTCTGAATGCTGCTCCACTCTATTCTATCAAAGGCTTTAGCCATGCCAAACTTAAGAGCCATCAGGAACTTACTGCCAGAGTTATGCCTGTTTAGGTGATGAATAGCTTCATGAGCTACCACAACATTATCAAGCAAGCTTCTACCAGGAATGAAGGCATTTTGATTTTCAGAGATGCAAGAGTTAAGGCAGTTTTTGAGACTGAATGCAAGAATCTTAGAAATAATCTTGTAAGGGACACCACATAAGCTTATGGTCTGAAGTTAGAGACAGTGGTGGGGTTCATGCATTTTGGAATGAGGGTGATGGCTGTGTGATTCCAGCTTTTCAGAATTTGGCTAGATTCAAAAAAAACTTTGAATAGCCAAGCATAGATAAAATTTAATAGTATGCCAGAATTTTTGATTGAAGAGAGCGGACATACCATCGAGGCCATTGTGCAATTGGAATTGTTGAAGCATGTTCATCCTTAATGCATGACCATTCATAGACCTTGTATTTCATAACAAAAATTTAGAATTCAACATAAATCGAAAAAAAAAATAAAAAAAAAAAATAGGGCAAGCACAAATTAAGTTATACTTTTGAATAAGAACACAAGAACTTCAACCAATCTCCCATCAAGGATCACGAAGAAACGGGACAATGACCTTCATTGCATCGATTGATCGGCAATCTCGAACAACTAATTATATAATTTAACAAATTTAAATTAAAGCAAATAGCTTTATATAGAGGAAAAAAACAAAAAGAATTACAAAAATCAACAGAAATCACAAAAAACAATGACGAAAATTTATCCATTTTCAGGGAAATTGAACGCATTCGATTTGCCAAAAAAAAAATAATAATAATAATAATGTAATGTTCGCATAAAGAGGGGTGAAATGTGCAGGAAAAGCACCTTTCTCAGAATGTTGTCACGTGTTTCAGATGAGGAAGCGAAAGTGCTTCAATAATTCCTCCTTATGGGCCTGAAATAAATAAAATAAATGTAGAAGCCCAAAAACTTAGAAGTCCACCTTACCTGCATGCAATAGAGAATTAATGGTCTGGCCCAAATACCTAATCTATAGAAGTGTAAGCCACGTGTCACACCCAGAAGCCTACAAACTCCCGCTTATATATGTACTAGGAAGCTCTCGCTGTTCACAGCCAGCCCAATTTTTCCTGAATTCAAATTTTGCATTAATGCGGTTATGATTGATTAATATTTGGTGACGTCCCAATTTTGTCTGAATTCAAATTTTGCATTAATGCAGCTCTGATTGATTAATATTTGGCTTAATTATATGTGGAAGACTAAATATATACAAACATGAAATGTAGATGTTTTCATCAGCTAGAACTGAAGGAAGTCCAAACAAGCTTAAAATTTGGAAGTACTTGTTACAAAAGATAGCAAAATTATCATCACGAGCCAGTCCAAAGATGTTTATCATTGCTGATTACCAAAGATTACAAAAGGATGAGTTACATGCATGATATACCATGGATAATATTTTGCATACAGAAGTCTGAAACATCTACATATATAGATGTTATAAATTGTGTGTTACAAATAAGCAAAATATAAATGGCTTGGTTTATATGTAGCAGGCTTGTGAATCCAAAAGTTAGTTATAACGGTCTTGTGCGAAAAGTGGCAGACATAATAGGTAAGGATGCATCAGTGTTGGTTTGCTGTAGGGCGGGTCTTTTTCTGAGGGCATGAAGTTATTTCTGCTGAAGTTTGTTATGTGCTTTCACTCAAAATCAAACCAAAAGGTATTTATAGGGTGAATTTATAACTTCATATGCAATATCATAAGAAATAAAACATAATATTTAGCTATACAGATTTTGCAAAACAAACCAGAAACTATATAATCACTTGATTAATAAATTTCACTTGATCATACACAGTAAACAATATAGAACAAAAATCAAACAACTTATATAGAAAACACTTGCCAAAACAAAATTAGTTTAGAATCAAAATCTACCTTATGTTGACGCAAATGTTGTTGAATTAACAATCCTAAACAAAGGTCGACAGTTTTTGAAGAACCAAATCCACAAAGTACCTGAAAAACCCCAGAAATGAATCCATAGGTGAAAAACATATGAATTAAACCAAAGTTGAGATATATAGAAACAAACAGATGAATGAAAATGATTCCTAATAAACATTTCTCTATAAAGCTGCCAATAAGATTTTCTAAAGTTTTCACTGTTAAAATCACAACCATCACAATAAAAAAACTAATGAAAGTTTTTTACTGTAGCATTGTATTGTTGCATGGTAAAAATTCTATCAACAGAGATGATTAAGACCAAAGAAGAATCCTACGTGTAAAAGCGAGATTCCCAGTTTTGAAAAACTGACAAGTTTTTCCCTTCCCATTTAACGAAAATAATAAGCCTTAGCAACTTACAATTGTTCTATAACTATAACTAAGATAAAAGAACTTAAATGGGGCAAATCTTGAACAATCTCAGATCAATAACATAGAAACAGAAAAAGAAAAAGACGCAAATAGTATTCTAAAACTCTAGAGCTGACCACATTCATATGCGTGTGTGAGAGAATCTGAAGTTAACAGACTGTCCGAATGGTTAGCAAAAGTGATGATTTTTTAAATAGAAAATAAATTGATGAAGACTGAAATTTCGACTTCGAAGCTAGAAATCAAGGAGATTGCAAACCAAAGGTAAAATCTAAAACCACAGCTTTGATATAATTTGAGAGGAAAATTTTGTTTTGATGTTTTGCAGCCATATTTTATTAAAAGTAACAGAAGCAACTAACAGAACAACATAATTGTGTTAATCCTTGTTTGTATAAACAAAAAATAGTTAGTACTATTGAAATGAACATCGATGAACTTGTTAGAGCAGGTTAAGAAACCTGTCTCTAATACCCCATTATGTTTTTCCTTTCCTTTTGTGTTCTCTTTCTCAAACTCAAAAGCCATAGCAGATCCTAACATATCCATTAACAACTCAAAGTTAATTAGTTTATGTTAACCTATGAAATGATAATTATCTAATATGGAGACAACGTGTATTAGTTGATGTTTGTATTTATGTCTTGGAGGATTACGTTATTACATCTTAAAAACATCCCCATTTTCAAATTATTTTCTCATTTCAAAAAGCTAACTTCTTCATTTTTTTTATTTTTTTTATGATGAAAAAAAAATCCCTTTTTAAGCATATCCATTCCCACTCTATATCCTTTCCTTTCAAGAGATTAAGATACTAAAGCATAAAACCCATTTCTAGAAGCTATATATATGATTATGATGGACTGAAGTGTGTAACCTAAAAAGTGGCATAATGATTATCATAATTATTCATAGGATCCAATGGTTAAAACTATATTATTTTTCTAGTTCCTTTGTCATTTTTGAAAAGTTATAAATTTATGATTGCAATTCAGTCATCATGTTTGAAACTGTTTAATCTGAATGAAACTTAATAATAGACACACAAACAAAAACACACACACACACACATATATATATATATATATATTAATGTTAATAGTGTTTTGCTACTACACAGCAAGATCATGATAATATGATTATCATTTTTATCTAGGGCTTAATTAAAACTAATGGAACTAATGAATAGAACAACAGGCAAATAATTTTCAAAAAGCACAAGAGCTAACCAGTAACCACATCACTGTTAAAATGAACACGAACACTCAAACACATAGGCTCAAAATCATGAGATTATTTTTTCTTTTTTTTATCTTTTTTAGGTACATGTAAGATTTTTTCTCAATGAAACTTAATAATAATCACATATATTTAGTGTTAATAGATTTTTTAAAGCACGATCATATTTTTTTTTACTTTTATCTACGCCCTTATTAAAACTAATGGAACTAATGAACAAAACAACACAAAATGGTTTAGGCTTCTAGAACAATGAAATACAC